TAGATGGATGCCCTAAAGGAACTCCTAGGACATGGATGGACACAAGGCAGGATCGCCCATACCACGCTGTGTGTGTGCTGTCTAAAAAGTATCCCTCTAATATAATCATTTTGAAACGAGCCGCCTTGTCCAGCTGTCTTACTCGATGTAGTGGATTCCTCAGGAGCATAGCCCCGTCTCTTGTGTATAGTCTCTGCATGGTGCAAAGGGTTAGCCAAACGGATGGAATCCACCCAGAGCAAAGGCCTGGTGAATTACTTTCAAAAAGATCAGCTATTGAAAACTCTATCTGGAGAATTCTATTCTAACAGACATGAGATCAATATGTGTCCGGGACTGGTTTTAACTTCTGTACAATGATTAAGTGGGCCATCAATGCAGTTTTCTTCAAGATAAACAATGCCCCACCAAGATGTCAATGTTCACAAAAGTCTAATTCCCAAAAGGGATCAAAAGTATAAAAATACTCTGAAATAAGTACTGGATTTTAATGAGAGGTTGCTTGATGAAATGAAGCCAGATATCATGTAAAGGTTAAAATTTTTTAAATGTATTCCTAAGGAGTCATAGAAAGCTTTATTAAACAAAAATACCCAAATGGGAAAATATTGTTTCTTGACACCTCCTCCATCTGGGTTTGTACACTTCTGTGATGTTTCCATCTCTCCAACCCTTCCCAAAAAAGTCTGCACTCTCTGAGTCACACCTCAAAGTGACAGCGTTGGCGTCCTCGGACTCAGATGACGCTCCTTTTAAATGTTCTTTGAATTTAGGGAGGAAAAAGAATTCTGAATGCTGCAAGGTGGGTGCAGTAAGGTTTCCCAGTGAAATTCTTGCAGGACAGTCCCTGCTACCCTTGAAGAATTAGCAGATACGCTGTCCCAATGGGGGAGAAAGTTCCTCAGCATGATCTCCCTTGGCTTGTTCCTTCACTGATGCGGTTTCCCATTTTCTTTACACTTCTTCATAATAAGCTCCCAGGATCACCCTGTTTCCTTCAAGAAAGTCTATGAAGATTACCTTCTTGAGAGTCCACTCAAAAAGTTGTTATAACCTTCAGAACTGACTTCTGTGCTTTGACTTTCATTGGTCCAGCAGATCTCCTCAGAAGCCCCGGTTCTGATTGGAGCTTGCTCTCAGCATCATATTGGTAAATCCAAGGCTGTTCATGCTTCATCCATGAAACCACCAGGATAGATTTGACTTTGCATGAAAGACTGATGGACTGAGCCGCTGTTTGAGCTAGCCGATCTTCCAGCAATGTTTTCTGCACCCATGCAGCCCCAAGCTGGCCAAGGCCAAGATAGCTGCTTAAAGTGGAAAGGCCAGACCACATGAGGGCCCAGCTTCCATCGCTGGCCTAACCATGGTCACTCTAGGGGCTGTTTCCCTCCTCCGTGTTGATGGGCCTCCCTCTCTTGGCTAATCTTTGAGGGCTCCCTGACCGTCCTGAAAATAGTGATCCATCTTTAAAAAAAAAAAAAAAAAAACATTGTTTTATGAGCAGCAGAATGCCTGTAAAGTTGGTGCAAAGCTTCAGTTGGGGAGATATCCACTTTGAGTTTTGTTTTCAATTTTTGATTTTATCAATCACCTCAGAATCATGTTTCAGCATCATATGTTTCCCATGGCACAAAACGTATGCCTTTTTTTAAATCATCTTAGCGAGACGAGACGCAGACAGGCATAGTCCTGAGAGCTTGCCTGCAGCCAGTTGCCCACTGACCACAGAGGCCCACTTAAACGCATATTATTTGGAATAAACCCTGTGGCATGTGCAAGCCAGAATCCTAGTAGGGATGCTTTTGTAATGTATCCTTGTATCTGCAAAGGAAGGCTTACTATGAAGTGGACGTGTGCTTTTGTTGGATTGCTTCTCAATCTGTGTATTTACTGTTACCCAATCGACAGTGTGCAAAGATTTATTATTATTACTATTTGGATATATCCTTCTCAAATTTAAAAGATTAAGTGTGAGAGATTAACAGAATCATTAAAAGTCTAATATATGAAAATAGGTAGAAAGAATGGGTGCACGACTTGTACACAATCAATGTCACTGAATTGTTCTTATAGAAATTGTTAAATTCCTCTCCATTTTTGTTGTGTGTCTTTTCAGCACAATAACAAATATTTAGATAGATCATAAAGTTACAGAAACTAAAACGATGTGGTTTGGGCTCAGGAATAAACAACTAGCTTAATGGAATAGACTAGACAGTTGGCAAACCAAACCAGATACACCTAATTATCCATGTAACTGCCAAAGGGGGAACTGATCCAACAATAAATTCTAGTGGTCAAATCTGGTGCAAACACACTTCTTTGAAGTGTCGTGGTGTAAAATGCCACTCCGAGGACTGAATCCAGCCATGGCACTTCCAGTCGCCTCACATGCATGTGAATAAGGAAGGTCTGAGGAAAGTTGAAGAACTTGGCTCATGGTGTTGACAAAGTATATTAGATGATACTGATGACTGCCAGAAGGGGGAAAACAGTGTATTTTGGAATAAGTACAGCTCACTATGCCTTGAAAACGACAATGGCAAGACTTTGGACTTGGTACCAGGAGGGACCAGTCTCTGGAGCAAGACATCATGGTTGGTAAAGTAGAGGGTCAGCAAAAAAAAACGAGGAAGACCCTCCAGGAGAGGAAGTGACTCGGTGTTGACAGCCATGAACACACACGTGCCTACGGTTGTGAGAACAGCTCGGGACTGAGCAGCAGCGTGTTCTGTTGGACACCTGGTCATCAGGAGTCAGAACAGAACAACAACATATGACAGAGATGGAATGAAAGTCGGTGACGGATGGCCAGAATATTTACAAAGAATGTTTCAGCAAAAAGTTAACCAAAGGAGGATTCTTATAACATGTACCCAATAAATTCAGGCAGATGAAGAAGAAAATATTGGCTCATATACTTATGACACATTTATTGAGTGCCTATGAGGTGCCAGCCACTGTTGTGGCACTGATTGGTATTGGTTTAATACCATGATGGCAATCCCTGCCACTATTTAAATGCACCCTGGGAAAAACAACGTACACATTGCATTAAGTAAACGAGCAGGTTGCCATACCATATCTATCGTTGGCTCCCGTTCTCATTTTTTAATTGGTAAGCAAATGTAGAGATGAGAGAAACAACACCCCCAGAACAAAGGCTAGGACGACAATCACTGAACTCTCATTCCTGCTGCAGCCTTTTCATTTCTGTTTGCTTTTCTGGGTTTGCTAAGTTTTCTCCAATAAAGACTTTATTGTAATGAGGGAGTTGTGTTCTTAGTGAATCAAAATGAGCTATGCTTTGAAATTAAAGAAAAATCCTGTTCCCATTAAACTCTTTATTAATTAACAATAATTTTTAAGACCATCCTTTATTAAGTTGGTGTTCCAATTTCCAATTATCTCATAATGTTCTTTAAGTGTAGAGCTTGCTTGAGTCGGAATCCAAATGCGGTCCACACGCTGGACTGATTTTCTCTTAGCCGTGTTTCTCCTCCATCTCTTCTCGTCCCTGGTAATGGATGTGCGGAAGAAGCCAGGCCATCTGTCCAGTGGGATTGCCCACATGCTCGATTCTGATGATTACATACTCCAAGTACCACTCCCTACGACCGTCTGTGTTCTGGACAGAGGAATTTGTATCTAGAGACTTGATCGGGTTCAGGAGTTAGCTGTTTGCGGTTGGGGGGTAGGGGAGGGGGTGGGGTGTCTTCTATCAAGAAGCACATGATACCTGCGTGTCCTCTTAATTGCGATACTAGCAACCATAGATGATTAACACCTTGGTTCATTCATCCGGAGGTAGGGTAAAATATATTGACAACAATTTCGATGCAGTGGTGCACTGAACCCTAAAGTGGTGCCATCTCAATGTTTGTTGGACCCCAGAACTGCCTCCCACCCCCAGTCTATCAACAAAATGAAACAATTGCAGATAAGATCTGGAAACCGACTGGAGGTTCTCAGGAGCCTGAACAACTCTCTGCAATATACGGCTCCGTTAGCTTGAAGAATGGCTCCTTTTAGAAAGCGTTGCTTCATAAATAGTCGGATGGAAATAGTGTTCCCCTTTGCTGGCAGCTGCCACCACATTGTGTGCCATGTACAAATATTCATCACCCACCCAGAGATCCCATCTTTGATATTTACCAAAGCACCAGGGGGTCTTTCACTCCATCACAACTTCTGTTGTTGTTTGTATAATTATCTGGAAAGGAGCCCCAACCCTGCAACCTAGGGAGCCAGTTCATTATCCTGATGATTGCTGTCTTTGCAGAGACGCGCAAGTTCAAGGGACAGATGGGATTCGGAAAAGCCAGATGCCTGCACAATCCCACCCCAGCAGGCCCCAAGTGGAGTCCTCATTTTAGGAGGAAAGGGACAGAGGCTGAGCTTGGGGGCGGGAAAGGGACCATGTCAAGCTAGTCTCTCTCCGTCCTGCCTGGATCTCACGGGCCACGTCCCGCAGAGTGGGTGCGCCTGAAGCCGCTGCTCCAGTGCCCTGGGATGGTGCCTGGTGGGAGGGTAGCTGTGTCATCCCCTGGAAGGACAGTACCGATTGCTTAGCAATGTCAAGATGCCTGCTGTTTTGAGCCTGCCTGCCTGTAGAAGCAGATGGCTTAGGGACTCAGCCAGCCCTGCGTTGGCCTCCCCAGGCTGCTGACAGGTAAGCCGAGACCATATGCGAGTGGAAGAAGCAAGACCAGACCGCCACCAGGCAGGTGAAGCCAGCAACCAATTCCTGGAGACTGGGTTCACGCCGAGACAGGCTGGATGCACCACCGGCACCCACCGAGTGGACAGCAAAGGAGCTGATGACTTGCTCCATTGCTAACTCTGCTCTGCCGTCTTCCTCGCATCTCATGTCTCACTGCCTCCCTGGAAGTTCTTATTGGTGCTCAATGTTGAGCATGCCGGCTGTGGGGTAAACAATTCGGGTTTGAAAGAAGGCCATGCTGACGCACTGGGTTGGTTGTCTCTCCCGTCCCCAGGTCTACGATGGCAACAACAACTCCGCCCGCTTGCTTGGGGCGTTCGGCCACTCTGAGATGATGGGAATGACGCTGAACAGCACGTCCAGCAGTCTGCGGCTTGACTTCATCACCGATGCGGAGAACACCAGCCAGGGCTTCGAACTGCAGTTTTCCAGTAAGTCTTTCTTGCATCTGCGTGGACAGTGAAGTCAGACTCTCCCAGGCCCACGAGCAGAGGGAGGCTGGGCTCTGGGACACTGTCCATGGCATAAACAAGCGTGGTGTTCTCTAGCTGGTTTGCCTAGCCGGTTGTTTTCCCAAGACCCTGTGCCTGGGATTTGGGTAAGCTGCCACTCAGGCAGCAGCTTCAGGGTCTGACCATGTGGTTAGCCAAGGGGAGGGTCACACCAGACGTTGTGTTTGCTCATACTCACTGTTTCATTTAACTTAAAGCAGCCAAACATTGCTACTGGATGCTATCAGGTGAGTGCAACGCATAGTGACCCGTGTGACAAAGTAGAACTGTCCCATCAGGTTTTCTTGATTGTAGTCTTGACAGGAACAAATCATCAAGCATCGCCCCCTTGGAGCCACCGGAGAAAGGTGAGCTGTCCACCTTGGCAGGCAAACACCGAAGCCATTATGCCACCAGTGCTCCTTCAGCACGGGCTTCCTGAATCTTGCATGCATAAAATAACAGTGAGTGAGCCCCTACCAAATTCTCAAAATGTAGACACCGATGTGGAATTATGGCCTTGGTGACCTATTGTCACGGAGTCAAATCCAACTCACGGGGCCTATCGGATAGAGTAGCGCCATCCCGTAAGGTTCCCAGGGCTGTCCTCTCCAGAGAACCAGATCGCCACGACTCTCTTATGCGTGGGGCGCCTGGTGGGTTCCAACCCCCGAAGAGCCTCTCCTGACGGGTTGGTGTTAGATGCCATCGAGATAGCGTTCAGGCACGGGGAACAGCCCCATGCACACGTAGATCTCGGGCCTCACTTCCTGCTCTAGACGACCCACTGCAGCCCATTCAGCATCATAGCAACACACAATCCACCACGGACAGAGGGGGGTGGCTGCCGTTGAAGTGCAACGGCCGGAATCCAGCAGGTCCCCCACAGGGACGGCGAGAACTCCACTGAGGAACCAGCGTAAGATAGGAAGCAGTGTGCTCTTTCAGAAAGCTCTTTACAATCCAATGAGAATTCATCAACTGATGGACAGGCACAGTGGACGATCACTTGGCAATTAAAAGTGAAGGGCCAATTACACGCTTCAACTAAGATGGATTTTGAAATCACTTTTGCTAAAGACAAGAAGCCAGTCACAAAGGGCCACATATTATCCGTTTCCACTTCCATGAAATGTTCCAAATAGGCAGTCCGGAGAAACATAGCATGCTCTTCGAGGGCTGGGAGAGTAGGGAATGTTAGGGAGGAAATGGGGAGTAACCCCTACGAGGTGTGGGTGGGACCTCCATTGGAGCTGAGGAAAAGGTTCTAAAATTGAGCACAGTAGTGATTCCAAAACTCTGTGAATACTTTAAACACACACACAAAGACACACACATACACACATGGAGTGGCACACTTTAGATGAGCGAATTGCATGGTGTGTGTTTAAATCTCAATAAAGCTGGTCTTAGAGACCCAATGAGTGTATCAGGCTTCCCCTGCCGGGGGGCTCTCAGCTGTCCAGCTTAAGGATCTTCTGTTAGCAGCTGAAGGTGCAGTGGAACAGGGTTAAGCAGAACCCAATGGAATCCCACAGCCACCATGCGACAATTGTGTGACTTTGGAACAATTTATTTAACCTTCCCTGGGCAATACTCACAGTTTTGCAATGCAAGTAATTACAAGCTGCATATAAGACTCGTGCAGATAGCGAAAGAGGTAACTCGTGGGAAACACAATAGAGTCAGCCCTGTATCATCAGCTCCCTCTTCCCGCCTCTCACCAGGGCTCATATGAGCAGAACCTAATGGAGCCGATGAACAGTCACGCTGAACGTGACTGTTCCATATTATGCTCACCCCTCAGCCCGTCTCAATGAGCCAAAGGGTGGGGGAGGGGGCAGCTTCTGCTTACGAATCAGGCACAGGGAATAGAAGTCCCAACCTAGCCCTTCAGCTGCCAACAGTTGAAGCTGCCCCGGAAAGAGGAGCTGGGATCATTTGCACACAGCACCAGGCAAATGAAAGCGCCTTAAGGTCTCCTCCCTGAGTACCGGGATGTGGAGGGAGGGATTCCCAAGTGGTGACTCGGTCAGAGCCAGAAGCTCCAGCCAGGTGTCGTCCTGTTGAGCACGTGGGCTCTGGGGAAGACAAGAGGCACTTTCTGTCTGACAGGTGTGCTTTGCTCTCTGTGTTCGCTGCCTAGAGAAACACATTCTCATATGTGTAAGAGAGCTGTATATCAATGTGGTAGTTATCTCATTGTCAAGTTAAGGATTAAGCGTGTAGGGGTGGAGTCTAGCCTGTCAATCAGATCATAGCCAATGAGGCCTCTGTGTGGGGATGGCCTTCTCCTGAGAATTCTGGGAAATCCTGATTTTCCTCCTTGGAGGCGGGAGACACCTCTCTCTCTGCCACTCCCTGGGAGACATTGCAGCTGACAAGACACATGGAACTACGCTAGTGCCCTGAGCTGGACAAGCCACATGGATGCAACCAGACCTCTGAAGCCAGAGAAGCCACAGAGAGACCCCTGCCAGCGCTGAGATGCTTACAACACCACTGGACCCAAAGACTTTCTACCCACTGGCCCGTGATCTTCTACTTTCGGTATCATTGCATGTGTTTCGAGAGTCTGAAGAGGACTTTATAGATTGGTATCAGACATATGGGCTGATATCAGACTTATGACCTTGGACTGGACTGGGATGGGATGTTTTCTTAATGTACAATTACCCTTTATATAAAGCTCTCTCTTATCTACATATGCATGTTTATGAATTTGTTTCTCTAGTCTACCCAGACTAACGTGATCAGGAAGTTTTGTATATCAGGAAAACCTCCCAGCCCAGTCCAACTCAAGTCCATAAGTTTGATATGAGCCCATCAGTCCCTCTTCAGACTCACACAGTCACATGCAATGATGCAGAATGCAGGACTTTCACAGGCCCATGGGCGCACAGTCCTGTGGATCCCATGACGGTGAGCGCATCTCCAGGGCTCTGCAGGTCTCAGAGCGGCTTGCCAGCACGAAGGTGAAGGCAGAGAAGGTGAGAGGAGCTGGCCTCCGGAGACCATTTATCTCAGTCATCAAACTACAGCTTGATTGACAGGCCAAACCCCACCCCCAACTTCTTGCAAGTGCCATGTCGGCACAACAACAACCTATCACACTGACACTACTTCTTTCTCCACCAGGTTTTGAACTCATCAAATGTGAGGACCCAGGAACCCCCCAGTTTGGTTACAAGGTCCACGATGGAGGTCATTTTGCAGGGAGCTCTGTGTCCTTCAGCTGTGACCCTGGATACAACCTGCGGGGTAGTGAGGAGCTGCGGTGTCTGAGTGGCGAGCGGAGGACATGGGACCGGCCTCTCCCCATCTGTGTCGGTAGGAAGCCCATTGTTCGTCAAACTCCCCCACCCCAAGCTCTGCGTTGTCTCGCTACGAATGTCCTCATGTTACGTCCCAGGCTTCAAGGCCTGCAGGAACCATCCCCTCCCTGCCCCACCTTTGTCCGTGTCCCCACCTCCTGCATTACATCATTGTATGACATCATGACATCACACAGCAGTGCAGCCTGACAAGGGGCGTTGCCATTGTCACACATTTAGCATGTGAACCGGAGCCAAAGCACATCCTCAGAACCGGAACACTGGGATGGAGAAAAGGTTGGAGGGCTTGTGAGAGAGAGGTCAGGCTTTTGTCTGCATTCCAGCACTGTTTTCACCACCAGGACTTGAACAAGTCTTCAACGCACTCTGGGCCTCAGTTTCCTTATAGGTAAAATGCTTCCTTTCTTTGGGGAAGGTGGATCAAAGAGGAAGATAATTAACTAGCGTCTTCTGAACCCTAAGGTCCATCCAATGTCAACAGAGGTTGTGAGGAAGAGAAGGCTAACCTTAGGAGGCAGTATGAAACTGAAAAAGCATGACATTAAGATTGTCTGAACTCTTTATCTTCCCTCCTCAGCCTCACTCCACGTTTGACTCTCCTTGTAGACCAGGATTCCCACCACACTGCTTTGCCCCACTGGCCCAGCCTGAGCACCAGGGCTTTCCCTCTCCCCACCTGCTTCTTCGAGCGCCAGCACCTCAGTGTGTCTGTGAGCTCAGCACTGGCTAACTGTTTAAGATGGAAACATCTGTTGGGAAAATATCCGTGTGCCTGTCATGCGCCCATGCATCTTTCACTTTGGGTGTGAATGTTTTGGGGGAGGTGTTTCATTGGCTGTAGGTGCCATTGAGTCCGTTCCAATGTACAAGACACAAACTAATGAAGCCCTGCCCCATCCAGGGCATCCTCACAGTCACTTCTGTGTGTGAGCCCATTGTCGCAGTCGCTGTGCCAGTCCATCTGCTTGAGGCCCTTCCCCTTTTTACCCTGATTCCCCACGTGACCAGGCCTTCTGTCCTTCTCCTGGATCGAGGCCTCCTGAGATAATGCCCAAAGTAAGAGAGACCAATCTCACCATCCTCACTTCTAGGGAGCATGCTGGCTGCCCTTCTTCCCAAACGGATTTGTTGTTGTGCTGTTGGCAATCCGTAAGATATTCCTTCTTCTTCTTTCCCTGCACGATCGTTCACACGCATCAGTTCTCAGTCTTCCTGACTCGTTGTCCGGCTCTCACATGCCCTTGAAGTGACTGAAAACGCCAGGCTTCCCTAGAAGGACCTTCCTCCTCCAGGGGACCTTCTTGCTTTACAACCCTTTTGAGCGGTCTTTTGCAGCAGTCCAGTGCAATGTGGGGTGTGATTCCTTGACTGCTGCGTCCATGGGCCTGGGCTGTGGATCTAAGGAAAGTAAAATAAACTCCTTGACAATGTCAACATTTTTACTATCCCGTGCTGCTTGTTGGTGCAGTTGTGGGTATTGTTTGCTTGATTTATATTGAAACGTAATCATAGCGAAGGCTGGAGTGCTTGATCGTCATCAGCAAGGGCTTCAAGTCCTCCTCGCTGTCAGCAAGCAAAGTTAGGTCATCAGCATACCAAAGGTTGTCTATAAACCTTCCTCCAATTCTGCCTTTCATTGGCTCTTATTTTATTTATTTTTAATCGTTTTATTAGGGGCTCAGACAACTCATCACAATCCATACCTGCATCTGTTGTGTAAAGCACATCTGTACATTCGTCATTCTCCAAACATTTGCTCTCTCCATCTCCCTCCAATTCTGATGCTGTTTTCTTCTTCATGTTGTTCAGATATTTTGCTCGGTGTACAGATGTAATACATATAGTAAAAGAATACAACCTTGACACATACCTTTCCCAATTTGAAACCATGTAATCTCCCCTTATGCTGTACCAATAACTGCCCCTTAGTCAGTGTACAGGTTACACATGAGCACAACCAAGTGTTCTACAATTCCCATTTTGCAGTGATAGCCATCACTGTTATTATCCACACAGTCCAATGCCTTGGTAGAGTCCATGAAACACAAGTAAAGAGTGTGATGGGAAATGCTAGTGACTGAGGCTGGTGCTGATCCCCAAGACAATGACGTTTCAACAGGATCGTCAAGACTGTTACACAGCAAAGGGTGACAGATGAGGATTTTAATCCTGAAAGTAGGCAGACCAGAGTGGTGGCCCTTGGGCTCTTCCTCCTCCTTTGTGCTTGAGCTCAAGCCAGTCTACCAGCATGCCCAGCCCTTTCCTCTTTCATCCCCCCTTCTGTGTCCTTTCACTCATGGGCTGGGCTCCATGGACACAGAGAAGAGCAGATAGCAAGCAGTAAGGGCAACACATGCTCAAACAGACAAGAGTATAATGCCAAAAGCTAGCAAAACCTGAAGGCTATATGATGATGAACACGACAAAGGAGTGGTTTGCTTCCGGAAAGACTCGGGAAAGTTGCTTGATCATCACACGTACCACGTGGACTGGACTTGAGAGGATCCGCGTTGCAGACTGAGAAAACCAAGCTCCCTGCTATGGGTTGGAACCTGGCTCGTAGCACCCCTAAGAAGATAGAGTAGAATTACCCTTTGGGGTTTGCAAGGTTTTAAATCTGTCTAGAAGCAGACAACCTCATCTTTCTCGCACCAAAGCTGGTGAGATTGAATCGCTGACTTTGCGATTCCTGGTTCAGTGGGTAGCACATTGCACCACTAAGTTTTCATTCAAGCAGAGTGAACGTCGATCCTTTGAATCTTCGAGGTCGCCCCAGTGAGACTCGCTCATGCTCCACTGCTGTTAGGGGCATGAAGCTGTGTACTGGGGATTTTTACATTCAGCATATTTTACATATGACGGACTTCATTATGATCTATCAGAAATAACCACGATGACTTAAAATGTCCGGGTGTCTTCTTCAGTGACAAGACGGCTGAGTTGGCTCTGCAGACAAAGAAAGCAGCAGCACTCTCGGACGGGAAGAAAAAAAGAGTCCAGCAAGGGTCCTACTGTTGGTGACCCCCTCAGCCCTGCCCTTTGCCCCCTCCCTGTCCATCTGCCATTCCTCAGATGCAGGGATCCTGTGGCCAAGAAGCAGTAGTGTCCATGAGGAAGTGGTCCCAGCACTGCTACTGCAAGACCTGCTGGGACGTTGGAGGTGTTTCTCTATCTGGCATTTGAGAGGAAGAACCAGCCACAACATAGTAACGGCATCCCATGTTTCCAGCTACCTCCTCCTCTGCCAGATAGACTTCCCGGCCAAGGCTTATCGTTCTCCCTCTCACGCACACCCTAATCACGTGCATCAGCCCATCCTGCCTGGGATCTTTACATCAGATCGGTGCCCTCCAGCTCAAAGGCACCATGGAGGAGTGGACACACAGCCAGTAACACTTTGAGCAAAATCTCTGGTCTGCTGAGCAGACTGTAGTAGAGGACCTGCTCCCCTCAGCCCATCTGGGGTGGAAGACATGGAGCCCTGGATACGCTGGCTGGGTCTTTATAGCAACAGGTAAATGTCAGTCTTCTATCTCTGATCTTGATCTCATCGTCTCCTACTTCTTCTACGATCTTGCTTCATCAATTATTCCTTGAGAGCTCTGTAGCAAATCCCCTCCTCTTCCTTCAGTTTGGCTCTCCTTGTAATTTGTCTAGAAGGCAATAGCTTCATTCATTTGACCATCCATCCATCCGTTTGTTCAATCAGCACTTATTAATCATCTATGAGGTGCCAAATACTATATGAAGCCTTTGACATTCAAATATGAGTAAGGCAAGGTCCCTGCTGCCGAGGAGCTTATAGTTTTAGGGAAGAGATAGATAGGATTTAATGCCCGTTATGGACACTATGATTTTTAAAAAGTCGTTATCCTTATCATGAAGATGCCTAGGATAGCATGATCAATTCTACCTGGCATGACGGGGCCCACAAAAGGTTTCATAGAGTGATTTTTTTTTTTTTTGTTCAAGCAGAGGCATGAAGAGGTCCATCTGCCTGAGTTCACGAAGTTCATGATACTTGGCTGGAACAAGGGAGGCAGGGAAGGGGGCCACTGATACCAAAGGGAGCCCCTGTGGAGCTTGATGGGCTGTACTGCCGAATTTGGTCTTCATTCTAAGAATGATGGTTTCCAGAGAACAGTGTTATGGTCCAATGTGTGTTTTGGAGCTGGCCCTCTGATGGCATTGCTGAGGGTGAACAAGACCACCTGGGCCGGTTCAGAAATGATGAGGGACTGAGAGAAGACTCTAAGCCAGTGGTTCTCAACCTGTGGGTCGTGACCCCTTTGGGGGGGTGTCGAATGACCCTTTCACAGGGGTCGCCCCGATTCATCACAGTAGCAAAATGACAGTGATGAAGTCGCAACGAAAATAATGTTATGGTTGTCGGGGGTTTCACCACCACATGAGGAACTGTATGAAAGGGTGAAGGCATTGGACTGTTGAGAACCACTGCTCTAAGCCATGCGGGCACAGGAAGTCACAGAAATTCCGCGAGTGGGTTCACTCAGCTGTGGAGGAGGAAGGAGAATAAGGTCAAGGGGGCCCTGTCTCTGGTGGCTATCCTGCTCCTCCCACCTGATCAAACTGGTAAATGCTTGCTTTTCCCTCAAGATTCTCCTGAAACCAGGTGTCCTAGCCTTACCGTGCTGCTGCAACAAAGGTAATATAACTGCGTGGTTTTAACAAACGCAAATGCATTCTCTCACCATTTAGGAGTCTAGAAATCTAACTTCAGGGCACCATCCCTAAGAGATGGTTCTCTCTCTCTGTTGACTGGGGGGAAAGGTCTTCGTCTCCCCTCAACATTTATGGGCCCAGCATTCCTTGGCATCCATCTTGCCCTGGATCTAGGAGGTTCTCAGCCCATGGACCCTCCTTCCAAAAAATGCACTGTCCCTCCAGCTGTCCATGCTCGGCGGTAGTTCGGTGGGTCCCTCTCTCTGCTCACTTCTCTTTCCTTTTCTCTCTCATAAGATGAAAAGTGTGACTCAAGGCAATAAAAGGGGTGACTTAAGATGGCATGTAAAGGGCACAGCTCAAGAGCCTCCCCACTCTAATCCCCCCTTCGAGCCTTTACCACACGGTGACTACATGATCACATAACTTCCAAACCACTAGAGAACCGTGGCCTAGCCAAGGGGACCCAACCTTGGGCGGACCCAACTCAATCCACGTCACCAAGGTCCTCCCTGACCCTCCCTGCCCTGTGACAAGGGAAATGGACTGCTTCCTCCTCTGTGCCATGAAGACCCTCACTCAGAGCACTTGATGCCCACCGGACTGTGTCCTCCGAGAGACCACATGCTTTGCAGAGAAGGGACAGTGTCTCGTTTACGTCTGTGATCCTGGGACCTGTTGCTGTCGAGGACCAGGTTCAAGGCCTGCACATTCTTCCCGATGAGGCCTTGAGTTTGCTCTCAGAGTAAGCCCCTGCCACACAGAGGAAACCGAGACGTTTAAAACCAGCTGAGTGAGATAAAAGCCGCCTGCCGTCCAAGTCTGAAGTATGCAGTTCAATGGCTTCTTCGGATGTTCATCAATTCAACAATCTGGCTTTTACTGTTTTGTCCCCCACAAGGAAAACCCCGTGCCTGTTAGCAGTGTCCCCTCTACCCCTCTTCCTCCTGCTCCTTGGCCCTGGCAGCTACTACTATCTCGTTTCTGTCTCTGGACATTTGCTGACAATGGACACCTCACGTAGATGGGATCGTAAAATATGTGGCCTTTTGTGTCTGGCTGCTTTCACATGGCATGCTGTCAGAGTCCATCCGTGTTGTCACATGTGTCCGTACTCTCACCCCTGTTTACAACTGAATAACATTCCACTGTGTGAATACAGTACCTTGGGTTTTTCTGTTCATGAGTGAATGGACTTTGGGGTTAGTTCTACTTTTTATTTATTATGAATTATGCCACTATGAACATTGTTGTGCAGCTTTTTGTTTGTATTCCTAAGAACCAAGTTGCTGGGTCATATGGTAGCTCAACTCTGTGATGAACATTTTGAAGAACTGCCCATTTTTTCCCACAGAAGCTGTACTATTATCCACTTCCATCAATAGGGGATGAGAGTTTCATTGTGATTCTCCTTTGCGTGTGTATTAATGCGATAATGATCCTTGTAGGTGTGAATTTGTTTCGGTTATGGCTTAAATTTTCATTGCATTTCCCTAATGACTAAGATACTGAACATCCTGTGTATGTACTGATTGGGTGTTTTTATACTCTCCTTGGAGAAATAGCTGTTCAATTCCCTTGCCCTTAAAAAAAAAAGGGATTATTTGTTGCTGACCTCCATATGTCCTTTAGATACCATAGACCCTTGTATTGGTTGTGCGCAATCACCTGGGATAAACAAGAAGAACTCAGGGGCCCACAGGATGACATCTCAGTCCACTCCAAGAGGCTCACTCTTCTGGGCTTTCTTTCAGCTGAATGTGGAGGAACAGTGAAAGGAGAGGCATCGGGACAGGTGCTGTCACCTGGGTATCCAGCGCCCTACGAACACAACCTCAACTGCATCTGGACCATCGAGGCTGATGCTGGCTGCACCATTGGGTAAGTGTCAGGGCTGGCAAAGGAACCACGGCCAGTTGTTCAAGTGAGTCATCACCAGTACTGTCCCCTGGCCACCCACCTGGAGCCAGGACCTGCCCATATCACCTGGAGGCCTTTGTATGGTCAACAGTGGTTTCTATGGCTTAGGTCTGTACTGGGTCTTCTAGAAACTTGGTGGGGACAGTCTCGGCCTCATGGGGCTGCGTCCAAGTTCATGAAACCCATTGACATAAATGACCCACATACAGCAAGGGAGCTGAGGACACAGGCTTTCTACCAGTCAGACCCCAGTTTGAATCCCAGCTCTGTCCATTTGCGGGACTTTGGGCAAGTTCCTTAACCTCCCTGAAACTCCCCTTCTTCTTCAGAAATGATAGCTTATGATACTGGCTCTGCAGGAAAGTTATAACGTGCTTGAATAAGATGCATAGTACTTGGGATGTGGTAAATGTTTCATTATAATTGCTGTGGTAATTTCTCTGAAGTATAATTCAGGGATCTGATGAGTGGAACCAGAGCGTCCCACAGTAAGCTTGGGAGGAATAATGAGCAATCAAGACCATAATCCACTATTTTACCCGAGTAGACACCTCGACAAGTCAGGAGAAGGCTTTCTTGTTCCCTTACCCTGGAGCACCATTGAGGCCGTTCTTCAGCGGAGAGCTACCTCTGGGTTCGGCACAGCTGTGAATCCCAGTCGCTATTCATCGTGGAGGGAGACGCACTTGTATGCACAGGGCACAAGAGCAAGGGGCGTGAGAAGGCAGGCCAGGAGGAGATGAGGGGCGTTATTCTGGAAAGGGTAACAACAGAGCTGAATCCTGAGCCACAGAGAGGAGGTTGCTAGGCAGCCATGGGGGGGAGAGGGTGGGCCTGCTCCCACAGGAAGTGAGGGCGTATACTCAGGCTCAGGGAGCTAAGGATGGTTGCCTGTGACCAGAACATCTCTTGTGGATAGGTAGGTGGGGAAGGCATGGGAAATGAAGCCAATGATGTGCGCCATGACCAGAGTGTGGAGGTCACGGGTGAAGGAGCTGAGTATGGACATATTCTGGGGTAGACGAGGTCTAGGAGCCCAGTGGTGAAGCCGTTTCTAGAGTCTGGCTTGGGGGTGATCATTCCTGAACTCAGCAGTGGAGAAAAGTAGGCATACGATGAGGAGACCTTTAGGAGGTCACACCAGCTGACCTCTGTCTCCTCAGTCAACATTCAGGTTTCTTTTGTCACCCCTCCCTCTTTTTCAATGCCGAGCGTGTGCTACAGTAAGCAACGTATGCAGAAAAGTCAGAGGATTGGGGTAACAAACAGCCCCATCTGTGCTGTCTAGATTCGGCTGTCTGCCATGTATGCGCCATGTATGTGCCATGTATGTGCCATGTATGCGCCATGTATGTGCCATGCATGCGCCATGTATATGCCATGCCGCATTCGCTTCCCTCCGTTTTCCTTCATCCTTCTGTCTGTTTACTGAGCCAACTGAGAATGCATGGGAGACACTGATACTTCGACCTACATCCTGGGGCGTGGTTTTCTCCAGTCACGGCGGCATCAGCACACCATGAAAGCACACCATGGCTCTTGGGGAACTGGGATTAGGACCGGGGCTGGAGGAGACCGGAGCAGCTGACTGAGGGAGGACACGAGAAACAAGCCAAGGGCTTTGTAGTCAGGAGTAGGAACTATTGTCCTACTCATGAGATGGAGGGGTGCTGGGGAGGCACGAGGGTCACTTCCCAGCCCTCGGGAAGAGATGATCAAGTCAAATCCAGAAATGCCCTTCCTGCAGCAACCTAGAAGGAAGCCCGGCGGCACAGTGGTTAAAGCCCTTGGCTGCTAACCACCAGCAGTTCAAGTTCAAACCCACCAGGCACTCCATGTGGGGATGGGGGGTGGGGGTGGGGGGTAGAATGTGGTATTCTGCCTTGGTCCAGACTACAGCCTTCGAGGTCATATGGGATAGTTCTTCTTTGCCTATAGGGTGTCTATGAGTTCCAATTGATTCTAAGGCAATGCAAACAGACAGTAACATAACAAGACATAAGTCACAGGATGGTGGGGTAAGAGGTTGGGAAGGATACAGCCAGTGTGTGTGTGTGTGTGTGTGTGTGTGTGTGTGTGTGTGTGTGCCCTAAGATGGGAAGTGGCTAGGAGAAGATGAAGGTGATGTCAGCCTGCAATCCTGGAATACTTCTTGGAACCTTGGAAACATCAAAGGTGAAATGCTAGGGAAGCCTTCAGTCCCCTCCCAGGTCTGCGTCCTAGCCACAGGTGCGTAGTAGCCACTGAGAGCAACTCATTTCCATTTCTACTCCCTCCCCCTCCCCCATCCTCTTGTCCTTCCTTTCCCACCCTTCTCCCCCACCCACATCACACACCCCACTTGAATAACCAGCAGGAATTTTAGGGACTTCATCATTAACCTGAAAGGAGATGGACACAAAAGTCCCTTTGGTATTTGAGTCCTTATTCACAGGTTTAGCTTTCAAAATGAGAATGTCTTTCTAGGATGTTCTATATCATGATATTAATATATATTTCTATGTAAAGATATGTGCGTACAGCTTATATGTAAATATTGGCATGCACAGGATAAATCTTATGTATAATGTTAGCTGCCATCAGGTTGATCCCTGACTCATGGCAAACAGATTCATACAGAATAGAACTGCTCTATAGGACCCTAATGGTTAAGAACTTGGTTTCTAGCCAAAAGGTTGGAGGTTCAAACCCACCCAGTGGCTCCACAGGAGAAAGACCTGGCAGCCCACTCCCATAAGACGACACACTAAGCCACCCTGTGGCACAGTTCTTGGGAAAGTAGAGGGCCAGCACAAACGAGAAATGTCCTCAGTGAAATGGATTGGCATGGTGGCTGCCACAACGGGCTCACCGACACCCAATGAGAAGGCGGCAAAGGACCAGGTAACCTTTATTCCCTCACACTGGGTTATTATGAGCTGGAACCTCCTCACAGACCTTGACCAAAACAAGTCTTGACAGAAGCAGCACTGCTCATCCAAGAAGCCAAGAAGCAAAATGCAAACAGACTCCGTGCCATCGAGTTGATTCTGATGCATCCCTACCCTATCGACCAGGGTAGAATTGCCCCATGTGGGGTTTGGGGGTCTGAGACTATAACTCTTTACGGGGAGTTGAAAGCCTTGATGTTCTGCCATTGAACAGTTGGTGATTTTGAACTCCTAGCCTTTTGGTTCGCAGCCCAGCGGGTAACCACTATGCCAGTGGGGCTCCTTAGGAAGCTACTTAAAAATAAATAAATGAACTCACTGCGGTCAAGTTGATGCCAATGCACAGCTGCCCTATAGCACGGGGTGGAATTGCACCTGTGAGTTCCCCAGACGAACTCTTCACGGGAGGAGAAAGCCTCCTTCCTCCCTCAGAGCAGTTGATGTTTAGCACCCAGAGTTTCACCACTAGGCCGTGAACGGTGAGGCCGGCAGCCGATCCCACACCACTTCTGCCACCTGGACTCATTCGGAAGGTCATGTTGTCAGTCCGTGCTGCCTAGTCAATCCCGTTAAGACACTCTTGTGCTTTGTTTTGATTTCTTTCATTGAAAATCGAAATGGTATAGAAATGTATACATTTGAAATCAAAAGCGCCCGTGATCTTCTTCTGGCCCGTGTCTGCATAAGGCAAACACTGCCAATCGTTCCTACAATGAGATCCTCACTGTGTGTGGCTCGGTAACTTGCTTGGTGTTTTACCACTGCATCGTTTATCATCATCTTATGAAGTCAATACATATAGATCTACCTCATCCTGTTTGAAGCCTGCTGGGAATTCTGTGGTATGCACAAACATAATTTACTTCGTGATACGTTTATTGATAAAGTGAATAGTTCCATTTTTTCACTCCACTGAACATGAATCTTGGAGCAGTCTTCCCAATAGTTCCGTGAGACACACCCTTCGAAGGATCATTTTGAGGCCTCTCCACTGGAGTCCATGGAAGCCCTGATCGTGCCCACGCTGGTCAGTCCCTGCAGGAAAAGGACATCTATGTCGTGGCTGCCGGGTTTGCCTTTACATTTCTTTGGAGGAATTTGATTCATATATTCCACTTTGTTCAGTTCCCAGTAGACATTGTTGCTGTTTCAAGTTCTTTTCAACCCAAGAAAGTTAATATTTTCTTTCCTTTTTCTTTTTCTGGAGTCTTACTAAATGATTATTTTTTGGTGGGCAAAGTAGGGGCAGAATCTTTTTCTTTATATGTTTTGCATGTTCCTTTTTTGCTTTCTCGACTGTGTGTCTAGAGCCCTGGTGCTGGGGGGTAAGCACTAAGTCAGGGACGGAGCCCCTCAGCCACTCTGCCCGAGAGGCACCCCCTCGTACAAATCCAGTCTGAGGAACCCTCTAAGTCAGTGGTTCTCGACCTTCCTCATGCCGTCACCCTTTCATACAGCTCCTCGTGTGGTGGTGACCCCCAACCATCAAATTATTTGCGTTGTTACTTCATCACTGTCATTTTGCTACTATTATGAATCGTCATGTAAATGTCAGATAAGCAGGATGTCTTTTCATTGTAACATTTGAGCATAACTAAAGCATAGTGATGAATCACAAAACAGTATGTAATACTATATTGTGAACTACTTATTTCTAACTACAAATCAATGAAATTTTGTCTGGCAGCATGGTGTAGCATGGGTAACAGTCTTAACATAACAACTGGAAACCACATTGGTACATTTTGCAACAGTATGCATAAAAAGCCAATGTCTGGGTTCCTAAGACCATCAGAAATATGTGTTGTCCGATGGTCTTAGGCAACCTGTGTGAGAGGGAAGTTCAACCCCCAAAACGGTCGTGACCCACAGGTGGAGAACCGCTGCTGTACAGGGCCGCCTCATGAAAGTCCAGTCTGAGAAACCCTATGGAGGCCGCTAGGAGTCACAGTTGACTGGAGGGCAGTGGATAATACGGATACATGCGGACCAGGCGATGGGTTCAGGGCCCCCGGTGTTTCTAGTGCATCA